TAACTTGTGTTGTATGACTGTATCAACATGAGTAACTAGTGTTGTATGACTGTATCAACATGAGTAACTTGCGTTTATGACTGTATCAACATGAGTAACTTGTGTTGTATGACTGTATCAACATGAGTAACTTGTGTTGTATGACTGTATCAACATGAGTAACTTGTGTTGTATGACTGTATAAACATGAGTAACTTGTGTTGTATGACTGTATCAACATGAGTAACTTGTGTTGTATGACTGTATCAACATGAGTAACTTGCGTTTATGACTGTATCAACATGAGTAACTTGTGTTGTATGACTGTATCAACATGAGTAACTTGTGTTGTAAGACTGTATCAACATGAGTAACTTGTGTTGTATGACTGTATCAACATGAGTAACTTGTGTTGTATGACTGTATCAACATGAGTAACTTGTGTTGTATGACTGTATCAACATGAGTAACTTGTGTTGTATGACTGTATCAACATGAGTAACTTGTGTTGTATGACTGTATCAACATGAGTAACTTGTGTTGTATGACTGTATCAACATGAGTAACTTGTGTTGTATGACTGTATCAACATGAGTAACTTGTGTTGTATGACTGTATCAACATGAGTAACTTGTGTTGTATGACTGTATCAACATGAGTAACTTGTGTTGTATGACTGTATCAACATGAGTAACTTGTGTTGTATGACTGTATCAACATGAGTAACTTGTGTTGTATGACTGTATCAACATGAGTAACTTGTGTTGTATGACTGTATCAACATGAGTAACTTGTGTTGTATGACTGTATCAACATGAGTAACTTGTGTTGTATGACTGTATCAACATGAGTAACTTGTGTTGTATGACTGTATCAACATGAGTAACTTGTGTTGTATGACTGTATCAACATGAGTAACTTGTGTTGTATGACTGTATCAACATGAGTAACTTGTGTTGTATGACTGTATCAACATGAGTAACTTGTGTTGTATGACTGTATCAACATGAGTAACTTGTGTTGTATGACTGTATCAACATGAGTAACTTGTGTTGTATGACTGTATCAACATGAGTAACTTGTGTTGTATGACTGTATCAACATGAGTAACTTGTGTTGTATGACTGTATCAACATGAGTAACTTGTGTTGTATGACTGTATCAACATGAGTAGCTTGTGTTGTATGACTGTATCAACATGAGTAACTTGTGTTGTATGACTGTATAAACATAAGTAACTTGTGTTGTATGACTGTATCAACATAAGTAACTTGTGTTGTATGACTGTATAAACATAAGTAACTTGTGTTGTATGACTGTATCAACATGAGTAACTAGTGTTGTATGACTGTATCAACATGAGTAACTTGTGTTGTATGACTGTATCAACATGAGTAGCTTGTGTTGTATGACTGTATCAACATGAGTAGCTTGTGTTGTAAGACTGTATCAACATGAGTAACTTGCGTTGTATGACTGTATCAACATGAGTAGCTTGTGTTGTATGACTGTATCAACATGAGTAGCTTGTGTTGTAAGACTGTATCAACATGAGTAACTTGCGTTGTATGACTGTATCAACATGAGTAACTTGTGTTGTATGACTGTATCAACATGAGTAACTAGTGTTGTATGACTGTATCAACATGAGTAACTTGTGTTGTATGACTGTATCAACATGAGTAACTTGTGTTGTATGACTGTATCAACATGAGTAACTTGTGTTGTATGACTGTATCAACATGAGTAACTTGTGTTGTATGACTGTATCAACATGAGTAACTTGTGTTGTATGACTGTATCAACATGAGTAACTTGTGTTGTATGACTGTATCAACATGAGTAACTTGTGTTGTATGACTGTATCAACATAAGTAACGTGTGTTGTATGACTGTATCAACATGAGTAACTTGTGTTGTATGACTGTATCAACATGAGTAACTAGTGTTGTATGACTGTATCAACATGATTTTTTTTTCAATTTGTAAATAAGAAACCCATTTGTGGCAGTATATTACAAGTGTTGAAAAGAATTGTATTTATTTTTGTCTTAGATCCCAGCGACAACGCCAGCAAGAATCCGACTATACTGTGAATAATAATGATGGCAACTCAGAAAGCAACATTCTCACCACAAGCTACTACAGCAGACAGAGCCGGACAGTCAGCCAGTCATCATTGCTGTCCATCCTGGGGCTGTCTTATAATGGATACAAGACATTTTTTGCTTTTGAAGACAGGTTTTGTAACTTTGATGAGGTGGGTTTAATTATAGGTAGGCCTAATTATTTGTTATTATAACTATTTGATGAAATTAGTTTATTTGGTTAATAATTTGGTAATGTAATTAAAGATGGGTATTTGGGCATTAATTTAATAATATAATTAGTTGATGAGATGGGTATTTACTATGTCATAATTTGGTAATTTAATTAGTTGAGGTGGGTATACATCAAGAAATAATTTGGTAATACAAACATTTGTTGTGGGATATGGGGGTATTGTTTTATAGATATTATTATGAGAGGGTAATTAAAGTAATGATTTTTTTTACAATATTTTGGTTTGATCATTACCTACTGGGTGATTTATAGTTTGTGACCTGTGGGCATTTAGCCATATTATAGTTTAAACTTGCCAAATATTTTATAGGTTTAAAACTGTTAAATTTTTCAACATGCCGTCTGTCTAGGTTGGGCGAGCCTGTAGGAAGGCTGGCCTTGAGAAGTGTGGCCTGATTGTTGGCATAGACTTCAGTGCAAGCAACGAGTGGCAAGGCAGGAAAACATTTGGTGCACAGAATCTGCACAAAGTTGTGCCAGGGAAACTCTTGAATCCATATCAAAAGGTAAGTGCTTGCTGGACAAAACATTCTGGAAGCCGTATTGGTAATAAAGGCTGTGATGAGGAGTTAGTGAGTGGTTGATATAAGAAGTCATCATTTGGTCAGTGGGTAAGAGCTTGTTAGAGTGGTCATTTGTCAGGTTGAAGAGCTTGTGTGTGTGCTCATTTGGTCAATGGGACAAGTTATAGATTGTGAGGATCACATAAAATGTTTCAGGGGAGTTAATAAGGTGGCAGGAGGTTATCAAAATATAAATAACAAAATTGTATCAAATGATGTTTTTCAATATTAAAATACACACATGAAACACTTACATGATATTGCATTTAAATGGAGAAAAAAATGTTCTATAATACCTAGTTGTAGTTGAGAGAATTTTGTTGTTGCGTTTTTTTTATATTATCATATTGGAAAAAAATTTGATTACTTAAGTGATTTGTACCTGATCACACAGGATATTGATTAACATGAAATATTTAACAGCAATATTATTTGAAAAATTATGTTTAGCAAACAGAATAAATAACACATTTTATTTAATACACAGAACATTTGCTCTCCCAGGTGATCACAATAATGGGACGCACACTGGAGACATTTGATGAAGACAACTTGATCCCAGCCTATGGTTTCGGAGACACAGTTACCATGTCCCAATCTGTGTTTTCCTTCAAGGAAGGGGAGGACGGGCAAGACGATCCTTGCAAGGGATTTACTGAGGTCCTTGAGAGATATGGGGAAATTGCCAACAAAATCACATTAGGTGGACCTACAAACTTTGCACCAATAATTAACAAGGCAGTTGAAATAGTTAGAAGGCTTAAACGGTGAGACCACAGGTTTATATGATAAATTCTTGAAATTTTATAAAAAAACTTTGAAGTTTTTTTTATGAGTTAACAACTCAATCAACACTTACATGTATTCATTGCTGCTACTTTAGGAATCATAAATAATCATTACTGACATTTTTTCCCCCTCCCCAAAATATCACATAACAGTATTTATAGTGTTTACTGACATTGTCCTCCCAGGTATCACACACTTTTAGTTATTACTGACATTGTCCCCCCAGGTATCACACACTATTAGTGATTACTGACATTGTTCCCCCAGGTATCACACACTATTAGTGATTACTGATATTGTCCCCCCCAGGTATCACATACTCATAGTAATTGCTGATGGCCAAGTGACAGAGCAGATGACCACCATCCAGGCCATCGTGGAGGCATCACTTTACCCACTTAGTATTATCATGGTTGGTGTCGGTGACGGGCCTTGGACCACAATGGAACAATTTGATAACTGTTTGCCAGAGAGATGTTTTGACAACTTTCAGTTTGTGAACTTTCATGCTGTGACCAATAGCTGCAGGTTGTTGACTTTTAGTCTACCCCATGATTAAAGCTTGAGAAACTTGGCATTCAAAAATACTTGGTGCTCAGTTTACCAAGTTATTATTTAATCAAGTTCTTTGGTTCTTCTGTAACACACAATGGTGGCTTCAAAAAAGTGGTTCTTAATTTCTAAGATACTCTGGCAGCTCGATAGTGTAGTCTTAACTTCAAAAACTGTAAAATTGCATAGTACCCAGTACATTACAAAGGAGGAACTTGTCCTACAATACATACCAGCAAATCTTTTTTGTTTATAATAAATGTAATAATATTTTGTATACATATCTATATAACTTTGCCTGCAGAAACTTAGCCTAAACTTTCAGTAATGGTAATTTGTTTTATCATAATTAAAGCTTAACACTAATTGTTTACAAGTGTAATTTCTGTCCATTAGAATATCTCATGACATCACTGTCTAAAATTTTGTGCTACACAGAAAAAATCCAGATGCCAGTTTTGCTCTGCATGCCATGATGGAGATTCCAGACCAATACAAGACTATTAAGAATCTTGGATACCTTGATGGAAGCCGCACCAATAGCCTTGAGGCTTCTCACAATAGAATCGTCAAATCACCGGGGATCCTGAAGTCTTCAAGTTCTAGTAAAGAAGACTGAACAAATAACTAGCTGAAATGTCATTATGCGGAATATATTGTCAGTTTGTGGGTTAATGTTGTCAGTGTGTGGGTTAATGTTGTCAGTGTGTGGGTTAATGTTGTCAGTGTGTGGGTTAATGTTGTCAGTGTGTGGGTTAATGTTGTCAGTGTGTGAATTATGCTGTCACTGTCTGGGATATGCTTTCAGTGTGTGGAAAATGTTGCTGTGTGGAGTTATGTTGTCAATGTGTTAATACATGTCTTAAGTTCAGTAAGGATGAGTGCAGATGCCTTGTTAAGTTGAACGGCTCTCCACACAGAGTTGTTAATACATGTCTTAAGTTCAGTAAGGATGAGTGCAGATGCCTTGTTAAGTTGAACGGCTCTCCACACAGAGTTGTTAATACATGTCTTAAGTTCAGTAAGGATGAGTGCAGATGACTTGTTAAGTTGAATGGCTCTCCACATAGTGTTATGTCAATATCTAAAATATCTTTGGATTATTATTGGTATTGTATGAAGTATATAAGATTAAGATGTCCTGTAAATAGTAAACATTGATTAGAAGTAGAAGTTTCCCCATTTATAGGTTTACAAGCCAACAGTTGGAGAAATGCAGTAAAGAATCTAGTGACAAAATCTGTAATGATCTAGTTGTCTTTCCCTTAAATAATCTTCATTGCATGTTTGAGTGAAAACTGACAAGAATTTTTTTTTTTTTTTGTTGCTTTGAATATTTCTATGTTACGGCAGTTATTTTGTTGGATTGAATTTGAATATTTCTGTCAATTATTTATTGCAGACCAAACAATTTTGTGTGCCTGGTTGCAATGAATTATATAAGTGTTAAGAAACCCCTAGTAGCGATGTATCATTGATTATATAATCACTAGAAGGAATGATGGACCGACCAATGGTCATTGTCCATTCCAGTATTACTTTAGGAAAATAAAAAAAAATGTTTCTGTGTTTTTTGATGAATTGATGCAATGTATTACAGTTGATCTAATGGCTTCATTTGTAAACTAACTGAACTAAATTCTTTGTTAGAGGCAGTAAGTGGAATGAACAATATCATTAAAGCAGTCATGTGACTATTGTACCTAGGGTAAGAGCTTATTTTAGTCAAATGAAATTTCTGCTATTTCTTATACATGAGCTCTGCTGTTGTGAATTTTTGGTAATTTTCACTTTCAATACAGGTGGATTACCTGTGATCAGTGGCGTAGCTAGGGGGTGCGGATCGCACCGGGGGACACCATCTTAAGGGGTGACACCAATTGAAAAACTGCATATTTACACTGCTCGGTCTAAAAGAATTTGTATAAAGGATAGCTGATTACATGTAAATTTACCACACATATAACAATCCAATTTCATGCTTTATTAAAAGTTCAATGTTAATGTGTCAGAAATGAAGAGGCCCTATAAATAGGTCAGAAAGACATCGTTTTGACCCATTGATGTGTTCAGTAATTTTCGTAAGTGACAGGAAGCTATATTTATCTAAATTCAGAGAAATACAAGTTTTGCATTGATACCAAATATGATGTGGTCGGGCGATTGTAAGTCCATGAATTGTATTGGTAACAATTAAAAACATAAATGACTTTTCACCCATTTATGGGGTTTACAGAATATTTTAAAAATTTTTCTTATATATTTAAATAATTATTTAAAACCTATTTAAATATAAATAAAATGATTTTTGAAACCAAATACATTTAAACCTAGAAATATTCAAAAATGAATCTTTTCACAGATTCGTCACTAGCAACGCCCATTAACATCTGTTGTATTTTGGATAGTGCTCTGACTGTTGTTTTTGAACTTTCTAAGTAATTATTTTGTTGTCTTGAACACGAAGCAGTTAAAACATTTTTATTGTTCAAGATTATTCTATCATGCCGCACAGCATGCACAAATCAAAATGGCCTAGTGGCTGCCAGCAGCAAAAAGTGAAAAAGAAAAGAAGTGACTCGCTAAAATCACTACCAGGATCCATTCTTCTGTACTGGGTATGTCAAGAAACCAAATAATGACCAGGGTTCGTCAAAAGACGTTCCTCAGCCTACCATTGACACTGATTCCTCTGATACAGCAGCATGCATTCAACAGTAAATAGTGCACACAATGGAAGAGACTGACATGGAAATACAAGTAAAAGATGTGTGTGGTTTGAAAATGGAAACAGTGTTGATAATGTTGATTCAAACTAAGATACAGTAAATGTGATGGTTAATGAGAAAAACTGGAATACTTTGTCAGATGCCTCTCTCTGGAATGTACCAGTTGCAGATAATTTTCAGTTTGAAATTATTAAAATAGGGAGAACCTTGTTGGGTAGCACATATGTGTGAGCAGCTGTTTTCTGTGATGAATATTAACAATACATCACACATGAGTCGTCTCACTGATGAACACTTGCAGTCCATAATGAGAATCTCAATGACACAGAGCATTACTCCCAAAATAAACGAACTTGTAGCCAAGAAAAGATGTTAAACATCCAGCTCTGACAAATTGGCATAAGAACGAAAATGGGTATGCAAATGATTTTTAATTATTAAAACTTTTTTCTGTTTTTATTTGTATAAATGTTTTTAAAAAAGATTAATTTTCAGCTTATTGAATGCAAATCCTGTTCGGCCCGCAACGTTACATGTGATTTGAGTTTTGGCCCGCCGAGCGATTGAGTTTGACACCCCTGATCTAGAGTAAAATCATCTGCATCTTACCTTTCACCAGAAACCCAAAATGAATTTATAAATGTCCTTGCAAATCACATGAAGGAGATTCTTATGGATATAAAGGCTGCAAGGTATTTTAGAATTATGTTTGACATTACATCTGATATATCACACATTGACCAGATGTCTGAATTGAATGCAATAGTAGAACAAGGTATGTTGCAGCTTGAATTAAAAGAGAGGACAATGAGATGTGAGCGTCTTGGCTTAGAGCCATCTTCAGCAAACAGGACTAAGAGAAGTACAACAAGAAACAGAGTACATTAAAAAAAACTTATGTAGGATTACAGTAGCAATATTTATATTATATTCTTTCACTTCCTGACCTTCAATTAATTTGTTTTTGCTCTTGTGATTGTTATTCTGTGGACTTATTTAACAAGAAGAATTTGGGGGTGGGGGTGACATCAAGGCTAGCAACCTTCAACCCTAGCTACGCCAGTGCCTGTGATGAGTAGCCTGCATTTGACTTCCAATGACTACCAAAGGTCGTTAAACTGTATGCTTCAAACAGATTCTTGTGCCTTACTCTTAACATTTAAATGTTGGATTAAATAATACAAATCTGCAGCATTTTGATCATTCTTTACATATAATTTTTTTTCATGATACTTATTATCCTTGCTTCAACTACATATAATAAATTCAATCATATTATGACTTGTTTCATATGATAATATCCTAGCTTCTTATGATTATTTAAATAATAATATTACTTAACTGTCCTCACTCCATTTCATCAAATTAGTCATACACATGATTGATTGTCTCAATTTGGACAAATGTTTCGGAGCTAAGGTATATTCTAGTCTTATTGAAGTAAATCTAACATGTTAACATTTTTAAAAATTTATTTGGGACATTAACTTGATTTTACTTACAATTGACACACACACACACACAATCCCCAAAAACCAGTAGAGTTCAATAACTTTCATTTTTCAAGACTTTCATTTATTTGTCATTAATTGGACACTCTATCACTTAAATAAGTTTTTTCTAAATGGTTGAGTACACTATGACAAGTGGTCTCCCCCCTCCCCCAATTTCCTTTTACGTTTCACTAGTTTTATATACTTAGGCTTATATATATATATATATAAAATATATCTCAAAAACAATTACACATTTTTTATTTATCCGATGAGATGTCACACATGCCATAATTAAATAAAAATCAGGCAGTTTAAAAATCACTTACTTACTGAGTTTATTTGGTTAAAATTTAAAAAAAATCAACTAGCCAAGCAAGCTATCAAAGAGAAGATTGAATTACCTCACCCTTTGAAATCACTTTCTAACAAAAAATATGATGAACTGATGAAACCATTCTGTCAAGCACCTGCAGCAACACATCACACATCTTATTTTAAGTTAGTGCACACACCCCTCTCACATGAATGAATATGTCACATAGCTAAGACTTATTCCCATTTTTTGTCTTTCTTCAAGTGATCAAGCATTTCTGCTGTGGTATAATGTGGGCGGAGATCATCAATTTTGTCCCGGTCTTCCTCTTCTTTCTTAATCTTGTCATTTTTATATGGCACCCGCTCTACAACACTGTAATATGCTGTCTCCTCAGCCTGCAAGATCATGGACAAAAAAGTAAACAAAGTAATTTAACAATCATTAATTTTCAATGTTTTCTGAAAGTCGCTTTTTAAGAAGTTTAAGCTCAGAAATATTAACACAGAATTACACCTAACAAATAACCATTAATTATGATAGAGCAACAAACATCTGACTATACAAATTTTAATATAAACAAAGAAATACACCTAACAAAGAACCATTGATTATGATAGAGCAAAAAACATCTGTCTACTATTTTCATTTTGTAACTGCTTTAACTTTATACTGGATAACGAAATCAACTCTGGGTAATACTTTAATTGTATTGTGATTTTAATAATTTGAAATGGGCATATCTAGAACCAAACTCCATTTTTCTATGCATGTGATTACCAGCCTTTGGAGACAACATGGCCATGACCTCTAATTTACTGGACACCAAGACTGACTTGACATATTATATCTTACCATTTTTTTTTTTCTGTAAATGAGAATTCCCAATAGATATATTGAGTTACAATTACAAAATATACTTTTGTCTGGTTAGCCTTTTCCACACTAACTAACAAGTAGGTTTGGAGTGGCATAACTAGGAGAGCTGCTCTGTGACATCACCTTGATGGGAAGCAGAATGGCACAAATGGTGGAGCTTTAAAAAAAGCTTCACCTGGGGCCATCGTTTTCAAATTAAGGTGGAGTTGTTGCCAAAAAAAAAAAAAAAAAAAAAAAAAAATGGTGGAGCTTTAAAAAAAGCTTCCCCTGGGGCCATCGTTTTCAAATTAAGGTGGAGTTGTTGCCAAAAAAAAAAAAAAAAAAAAAAGACAGCTCCAACTGGTTTATTTCCCCTCATTCCTTGCATAAGGAAAAAAGTCTATTTTGGATTTTCAGGACAAACTTAATTAACGCTGGCATTTTAAAAATATAATTATTTCTATTTTTAGAACAAAACCAAGGATGGAATCATGTAGTTTCATTTTAGTGAGTCAACTCATAAATCTTTCATTGATTACACTTACCAAAGACAAATAAGGTTTGTTTAGCAGATCAATATTGTCTTTCTCGATGACCATCAACTTGGCAACCTTACGCTTCAAATTAATACTGATTGGAGGAATCACCCTGGTCTTTCTGTGAATAAAATTAACAAATAGCTCCAATTAAAAACCTTTGCTGATCAGGTTTTCAACCATACAAACAAATTTAATAATTTATTTTTAAACTTTCTGAAGAGACCCCAAAAAAAATCATGAAATTGATTTAAAAAAAAAATATATGTAGTTTAGTTAGCCACTGAGATATTATTATTTAATCCATGAACAATCAATTGTATTTTTCTGTACTGTGCAGGCAATTCAGAGCTTTATGGGTGCCTTTGAAAAATGTGATTTTACACATGCAAATGCTATAGCTAGACCTCATAAAGTATTTATTTATTGTATTTAGCCATGTGGGATGAATGTCATGTCTCTTTTCACAGCCTCAGTGCAGGACAATGGTCAGTCATCTCAAGCATTCCCTGTCACAAATGGTGTGAAGCAGGGCTGTGTCCTGGCTCCCACACTCTTTAGTATTATGTATTCTGCAATGCTGTTTGATGCGTTCAAGGACTCCACCAGGGGTTTGCCAATCTGGTTTCGCACCGATGGATCAGTCTTCAACTTTAGGAGGGTTTAAGCTAATACCAAGGTCAAACATAACACCATTAACGAGCTTCTGTTTGCAGACAATTGTGCTTTCAACGCTGCCCCAGAAGCCGTCATGCAACACAGTGTTGATGTCTTCTCTGAGGCCTGCAATAACTTTGGCCTCACAATCAACACAAAGAAGACTGAGGTGATGTATCAGCCAACTCCCAGTAAGCCCTACGTTAAACCCAACATCATCATCAGCGGACAGTGTAGTTTTAACACAGTGGATACATTTACTTACTTGGGTAGCACAATTCTCTAGATCTGTCATCATGGATGATGAAATGAATGCCAGACTCGCAAAAGCTAGTGCCATATTTGGCAGGCTCCGCAGCACTTTTTGGGGCAGGAGAGGTATCAGACGGGAAACGAAGATCAAGGTCTATAGTGCAGCAGTCCTCTAAACATTGCTCTATGGATGTGAAACGTGGACAGTCTACCAGCGTCACGCCAAGAAACTGAATCATTTTCACACTACCTGCCTCAGGAAACTCCTCGGCATCAGGTGGCAAAACAAAGTCCCCGACACTGAGGTCCTCACTAGAGCGAACCTACCTGGTATCTTTACCACCCTGATGCAGTCTCAACTCTGTTGGATGGGACACGTAGCCCATATGGAAGACCACCGGCTCCCGAAACAGATATTCTTTGGAGAACTCACGATAGGCAAGCGCTCCCAAGGAGGTAAAAAATAGCGTTGCAAAGACTCACTGAAAGCGGCACTAAAGCCTTCAGCATCAACCCTACTCAATGGGTGCAGACAGCCCAGGACAGAGCCCAGTGGAGAGCAGCTGTCAAGAAGGGGGCTAAATCTCATGAAGCCTGTAGGATAACCACAGCTGAGACATGCAGGCTAGCCTGAAAGATCACCGACTGCAGCTACTATCCCCTGCCTACAGTACCTGAGATTATTCCGAGCACGGATCGGACTAGCAAGCCACCTACGAGCTCACCATAACCCACCCTCCCCCTAACTGGATGACTCGATGGTCCTTCCTAGTCGATTTTGACGGACGAACAACAACTGACTATTTTTTTAATGATATTTTATATCCCTGACCATGACTTTTGAGTACGGTAAACAAGAATAAAGAAAATACCTCAATACATTTTTTTTAAAGGCATACTTTTATAATGTTTATATAATATGATAGCATTTTTATTTATCTTTCAGAAAATGTATAATTTGTATATGTTTTAGTTATTAAAAGATTTTTAAAAAAAAATTCTTTTGATACTTATAATTACGTTCAAGTAACCAAGCACGACATAAACAATATAAACAGTACTAAATATCAAGAAGAAACAGATAAAATTTTCAAAGCTGCTATATAACTTTTTAATCCATAAAATGAAATATAAGTAGAAAACATACATAGAACAACCTACAATTATTTTGTTCTTGGTACATTTTCGCTTCTTAAGGCTTTGGTTAATGACATGTTCAAGTTGAGGCTCACATTTTTCATGACACCAGTGTCTTGATCTTTTGCAGCCAGTACTTTTTTTCCTTATTATTTATAATTTATACGGTGACTACATACGAAATAGTCCATTTCTTTCTTCCCATCAAGAAACACAAGTCTATAATGCATAACAGGAGGTTCAGGGGCAGGCATTTGTACTTCTGCTCTAATTTGCTCTACTTAAGAGCACTTTAGAAACCATGTTGTATAGGAGCCATGAATTCAGTATGGCTGTGTCAATAAGGTTATGGAATATTATTTTCCAGTACCTCCTCAGCATTGTGGTAAATTTTTTTGTCGCTGATGTCAACACCCCCATAAAAGAATTATAATCATAGATTGCAATCGGCTTTGCCCTTAATTACTCTTTTTTGTAAGCCAGCTTGATGAACAGTAGAGAGAAGAATCACTGGCTTTGTACGAGATTTCTTCTCCCTAAAGGCTAAAGCCAGAACAGAGCCATCTTCTTTTCTAAAAAAACGGCCTTCGCCAACCCGAAGGTCTCAGAAATTGTCCTCTGCATACCTTTAGAGTTGGCCCTGACAGTGCCAGTAAGTCAGTTAGTAGAGTTTTATTTTGGCACAGATATTCTGCCAGGTTTGGTTTTGTGTAAAATTTATCAGTGAATAAATGGTAGCCCTTGAGTAAGTTACTCTTGGTGATGAGGGTTAGGACCACACCAAAGGCTTGACCTTCATCATACCTAATGTCAAAGTCCTTTCCACTGCACATTTCCATATGGTACCCATAGCCGTTGCTGTAACATGGTATTTTTTAATTCCAAATCGAGCATGTCTCTTATTGGGCATATACTGGATGAAAACACTACGATTTTTTCATTCCAATTAGGCTTTCATCTATGCTGATTTGCCGAGATGGAATGTAAAGAAATTTGGAGACATGATTTATATGGTCAAGTAGCCATCTGACCTTAGACCAAGGATCAAAGCCTTCCTCTCCTCTTCGTTTTTCTTCTTGCACATTATTCTGTGCATAAATTCTTGAAATTAAGATAAATTCATCATAAGTCATGATGCTCTTAAAAAATATGGTGTTGTCCGTGATTGACAAACTGTCCAGTAAGCATCAAGATTTTTTTTCTTTGTTCGTCCCATATTTAATACAAGTCCAATATACTTTTTTAATTGCCTAACTGCCACTCCATCTTTAGATCATTTTCCATATCTTGATCTGGGATGAGTGGAAAGCCAATCTTGTATTTTGTCTGAGCTTATGAACTGAGAGGTATATCTGTTTGTCTCAGTTTTCAAAACTCTAAAAAATTCATCATACAAAAACAAATTCAAAATGTTTTGTGGTTCAGGATTCTCAGGTAAGTTTTTGGCTGACTTTGCTTGCCTAACTATAAAGTTTATATAATGCCTTTTATTTTGATTCAGGATAAAATGATATCAATGTCAATTTAATTTTTAAAAAACCTAAATTCCCCATTCAGAAAAATTGAAAAGGCATGACATAATCCCTGCCTACACAAGTATTTAAGACTACAACAAAAGATGAAACTAATTTTTTAAAACTGAATAAATACGCCAAAACCCTGTTTGTGTAGGCATGTAGACACTTTTATTTATTGCCATTATCATTAATTTAATTTAAAAAATTAGTGGCCTGACTTATTTTTGGATCTATATAATAATTAATAGGCCGTGTCTACAGTCCGGCACGCCCGTATATACGTCCGCATATCTCCCGCACTATTAGTCCGGCGACCAAGTCACATGACCGCCTTTACAAAGTGGCGTGAGATATCTTGTCGGCCAGCCTTGTCACGTGACTGCGAATGATTCAAAACTATTGTTAATTTTAAAATCTATTTCTCTACCAAGAATAATAACAACTACTAGCCGTCCTGTAGACACTTCGTAATTAATATTATCATAATAAGTTATAAGTATAAGCTCATCATAGTCATACTTTACACTTTACTCTTCTTTCTAAATATATAAGTAGTATAGTATTGTTAGTATCCCTATTACCATTAAGAATCATTCACAAAACTAGATTCTCAATTGTTGGCTTACATAACTTACATGTAAATTAAATACAATTATTCAATACAAATAAGTTATATACAATACAAATAGTCTACAGACTAAAATTAAAATCTCAATACATGCTGATGATGACACTTAACTCTAAGTAAGTTGTTAGTTGTATTTAATTATTCAGTTACAGTGACGTAATTTACCATTAGTCCTATCATGTCCTATATACTATAGTTTCCTACTAAACCTGTTTCATAATTTTTAGCAATATTCTAAGCCACTAAATTCGGCCTTGGTACATAAATATAGGCCTCTTACAGACAACTTACAGTTACAGTAGAGTTACAGTCTACAATAATTTTTCAATCACTGAACTTGAGCTACTCACAAGTCACTAACTACTAATACGATACTAGTAAGAGTAAGTGTCAGGGTCTGATTCTGAATCAGCTAGACTCAGTTTACCGGCTTACCCAAATCTGATTAAACCTGGAACTCTTCTGTAACGAATATAAAACTGTAAAGCGTCAGTCAGCTTCATAATTATACAAATGTATTATTTTAACTTGTTAATTCTAAAGATTTAAATATTTCATTGAAAATTATAGCAAAGGTCGGGAACTTCTCTTTGGGGGTCTGGTCCCATTAGTTGAGGTTAGAAAATTGAAACTTGCCAGGTATGTTTTCACAATTTCACAATTTTATTGTGCATTTGAAAGAATCTCAATAAAAATCAAGGAAAATTTCTTTTGAATATTATTTATTAAAAGCTTAATTTATTTCCCATGCATTGAAATAAAATGGGCCCATAATTTAATTAAAATATTATAAGGTGCTAGTGAAAGGTAAATAAATAACCCAACTAGTGAACAGCTTGGCATTATTCAATTATAGGTATCGATATAATCTTATTTAAATGTGCATAATCATACACTTGGAAACTTTTAATACATAGTAAGAGAGGAAACAGCTTCGTTACCAAGTCTGGCTGGCTCATATTGTCACATTAAGACATAGTAAGAGAGGAAGCATCAGCTTCATTACCAAGTCTGGCTGGCTCATAGTGACATTAACACATAGTAAGAGAGGAAACAGCTTGATTACCAAGTCTG